GCGGCGGAGATGACGGCATCGACATCGAAACCCCAAACGACGACGGCGAAGAAATGGGCGGCGCTTCTCCCAACGACGCCAATTCCATCGGCAGTGGCAGCGGCGGCGACGCCACTTCTTTCTTCTCCCTCCACACCTACCTCCCCGACGGGGACATCGATCTCGAACCCTACGAGGGTATGGAGTTCGAGTCCGAGGAGTCCGCAAAAGCCTTCTACAACTCGTACGCGAGGCGAGTTGGGTTCAGCACCCGGGTCAGCTCCTCACGCCGCTCCAGAAAAGACGGCGCCATCATACAGAGATCATTCGTCTGTGCAAAAGAAGGGTTTCGCAATCTGAACGAAAAACGAACCAAAGATAGAGAAATCAAACGACCTAGAACCGTAACTCGGGTAGGCTGCAAAGCCTCATTATCCGTCAAAATTCAAGATTCTGGAAAATGGGTCGTCTCGGGTTTCGTCAGAGAGCACAACCACGAGCTTGTTCCTCCAGACCAAGTGCATTGCCTCCGCTCCCACCGCCAAATATCAGGCCCCGCCAAAACCTTGATCGACACTCTTCAGGCTGCCGGAATGGGCCCGCGGAGGATCATGTCCGTGCTCGTTAAAGAGTATGGTGGGATTAGCAAAGTAGGCTTCACCGAAGTGGATTGCAGAAACTACATGCGTAATAATCGGCAAAGAAACATGGAGGGGGATATTCAGCTTCTATTAGACTATCTAAAGCAGAAGCAATCCGAAAATCCTTCGTTCTTCTACGCTATCCAAGGGGATGAAGATCAGTACACGGGTAATGTTTTCTGGGCCGATCCGAAATCAAGATCCGATTATAACCATTTTGGAGATACAGTCACATTCGACACTACTTACAGATCGAATAGGTATAGATTGCCCTTTGTGCCATTTACTGGATTGAACCATCATGGACAACCTGTGCTCTTCGGCTGTGCTTTCCTAATCAACGAATCGGAAGCATCATTCGTGTGGCTATTCAAAACTTGGCTGTCTGCTATGTTTGGCCGTTCTCCATTATCAATCACCACCGAACACGATAGTGTCATCCGCTCGGCTATAATGCAGGTTCTCCCAAATACTCGCCACCGTTTCTGCAAATGGCACATGTTCAAACAGTGCCAGGAGAAACTGTCACATGTTTTATTACA